ACCATACACCTAGGAGACATATTTTTCCTACCATATTTCTGCACCATTTCATGAGCAAGCATAATATTTTCTCCTATGATTCTTCCTTTAACAAACGCAGTTTGGTTCTCACTAATCAGATGAGGCAAGCATTCACTAAGCCTAGAAGAAATGATATTTGCTATACATTTATATAAAATGTTACAGCATGATATAGGTCTGAAAATTTTCATTTCTTCAGGTTTCTTAGTCTTAGGCAGTAATGCTAAGAGAGTAGAGTTTACCTCCAATGGGAACTCAGAAACTGAGAAGCAGTGCTAGATAGCAGCTGTGATTTCTTCCCCAACCAAACTCCAAGCAGAATGGAAAAAACTGGCTGAATAACCATAAGGGCCAGGACTTTTCTCCCTTTTAAACCCAAACATAACTTTCTTAATCTCTTCTGCAGTGACTGGTTTACACAATTCTATGGCAAGGTTACTAGGAAGTGTCTTTTGCAACAGTCCCCTATAGAAGTCCACTGACTCAGCTTTAACTGTAGGATCAGCCTTACCAAGCAGATTCTGATAAAATCTCATGGCAACCTCACTCATACTTTTTGTATCAACCATCCTTTCCCCAGCTTCATTGATAAGAGATCTTATTGTGTTCCTCTGGGTTCTAATTTTGACTGAGAAAGGTTGTATTTTATTTAAATATGAATGTATTTTTTTATCAAAGTTCAATTGATATTTAAATATGAATGTAGATTGTAAGTGATTGTCTTCAAATATGGTTATATTATGCTTAAATTCATTTAATGTTAATGATTTTTTATATATTTTTACATATTTTGATAACCCGATATTGATAGGTATAAATCAATTATACCTCTCGAACAAAATCACTTGTTAAACTATATAACGGTATAAACTGGTTTGACAACCGTACGATAACTAACAAAGTTAGGCCATTTACGACAACGTTTGTAGCGTCCCGCCTCAAGGAGTTGAAAAAAGTTGGCAAAAGTGCAAAACCGAGCCTCGTCTGGACAGGCTGTTTGTGTTTCGATGCTTAGTCAGCCAGCGGCGCGAGTATGAAATCCCCGCCAAGCCCCAAACCATTCGGAGCATTTCCCAAGTACACCCCTCGCGATTTCGACACCTGATGGAGGGTGGAATCGTCATTTAACCACATCACTCGTCATATTCGCCCACAACTCCAGAAGACAAGACATCACCTCTTCACCGGAGCCAAACCCGAAACCTCCCCCGCGTTCTTCTCCTTTTGCCCCTGAAAGTGACCAGATCTAACCCAAAAATTTCAAATTCAACTACCTTAAAGAACCCTAATTTCCCCCTCCATTTTCGAATCATTTCCTCCTATTCGCGGGTTCTTCCGTCGTAATCTCTTGATCGGTCGCGGTGTCTTCTTAGAGTTCGGAGAGAGCTGATTAAGCAAGGATGGGCGATTTCAATCTCGCCCTAATAATCGTCGCTATAGTGGTGTGCGTCATCGTCTTCATCTTCAATGTCTACCTTCTGGTTAATTACCAGCACCCGGATGACAAGAACCAAGCTTACTTCCCCAAATTCGTGGTTGTTTTCGGCCTCTCCGTCGCCGTCATCTCCATACTGATGCTGCCGGCCGACGTCGCTAACCGGCAGGCCTGTCGCCACGCGATATACAATGGCGCCTGTAGTCTCACTTTGCCAATGAAGGATCTCTGGATCGCTGTCTATATCATCGACGCTGTGCTGGTCTTCTTCATCATCCCTTTCGCTATGTTTTACTACGAGGGGGACCAGGACAAGTTGGTGATCTTTACCCCTTTCATTTTCTCTCAAATGCCCAAAAGCTTCCTTTCGCTGTCCATAATGAACCGCTGGTCATTTATGAATTGCGTTCCTGACTGCTCTTTTTTGGTTGCAGGACTGTGGGCAAGCGGATTAAGAGCGCACTGATGTGGGTGATAACGACAGCCATTGTATGCGCGCTTCTGCTTGGCATCTTATATGGTTAGTGATTTTGTTTAGCTTTTTAGTGTGGGGTGATCAGTGTCTGTTAGGTTTATGAATTTTCTGAGTTTGGAAGTTCCGAAGCATGAAAATATTAGTTGCTTCTTGAGACTGTAATTCTGCGATTAGAAGGTCATTGGTTGGGCATTTCTATTTAGAGTATCTTCCTCATGAATATGCATTCTAAACCCATCACTGAATGTTGGAAGATTTCGATAACCTACTTAGAAATGTGTAAATGGCATTGGAGCCAGTATTAACTTTATGCTCTTTGGTGCTATATCAGGGCTAGTTGGAAAGGTGGATTTCACAGTTAGGCATCTTTCCTCAACCACTACAAACTTTCCTACTTCGTGGAGTTTCTCCACAAGTCAACCATGTGTCGGAAATAATGCTCGCCAGGTTATCATTATGTTGCCTGGCTTTCATCTTGCTGATTGTTGATGAATTTCTCTCTGTTCCTTTATTCATCTAAATTCATTCTGCACTTGAGGGCACCTCGAACTTTTGCCTGTTTTTTAGTTCACTTGTCCTGCCCTCTCTGACTCACCTTCTAAAGCTTTTTACCATTGGTTACAGTGCTCAGCATATCTTGCCAATGCTGCTTCAGAGAAGACTTGGACTATGCAAACCACATTTCCTGAATATGTTGTTGCACTTGCTACGATAGCTGGATCTGTGCTTTTCTCGGTGAGATCCTTCTACTCCAAATGTTGTTTTTTTTGCTGTCCATGAAGATGTTTTGCTTTCCGTTTCTGCTGTCTTTGAGGATTTTCCCAGTTTGTTTCATATGGATAATGGGAGTTGGCATGTTTATATGTGTTCTTAGTAACACTATATCCAAAATTGAAGGCACTCATGTTTGTCCTTTCCAATGACATGTTCATTTTGTTGCTGTCTTGCAAATGTTCAGATATTTGGTGGCGTTGGCATTGCGTGTTTACCTCTGGGACTCATTTTTTCATTCATCCGGCGACCAAAGGCTGTTATCACGCGTTCACAGTACATTAAGGTGATTGCTAGATACACTATAGAAAATAGGCAATGAAAGAGATTCCTAAAATCATGTCTGTATACATTCTGTAGGAAGCAACAGAGCTTGGTAAAAAAGCTAGAGATCTTAAGAAGGCAGCTGATTCACTTCATCAGGAAGAAAGAGGTGGTGCTAAGGGGAGAAAATGGCGTAAAAATGTTAAGGCAGTTGAGAAGGTGATACATGGGACCTAAACACAGTATGCTGATCATGCTGCAGGTTGGTTTTGTCCCTTTATGTTATTGATGCTTCTTTCTGGCATGGTTGAACTTTCAGGAATTGCATCAGTTGGAAGAAGATGTAAAGTTGCTTGAAGAGATGTACCCTCAAGGAGAAAAGGTGTGAATATAGTTTGTTGGTTGGATAAATAGACACGTTTTTGTTGTCTTGGTTTTAAAACTACGTATCTGGCATTTTCAGGCCGAGACTACTTGGGCTCTCACTATACTTGGTTATTTGGCAAAACTTGTGCTGGGAGTCTTGGGGTAAGTGCCGATCTTGAAACATAGTGTTAAGTCAGCAACTTTTGTCTTCATCCGTTATTTGATTGTAATATCTGTATAAGTTACTACCCGTTCTGAAACCCTCTGTTCGTACACAACACTCTCCTTATGTGGAGACTACCTTGCAGGAATTAGCCTAGTTTTGCTTTGCTCTTATTGTGGCTATTTCATTATGAAAAATGGCTAATCCAATTGGTCCTACCCTGCCCTTTGATTGTGGCATCCAATTTGTTCCTTTTGTAGGTTGATTGTCTCAGTGGCTTGGATTGTGCATATTATCATATATCTACTGATTGACCCTCCACTTTCTCCTCTCCTCAACGAGGTTTTCATTAAGTTGGACGACGTGTGGGGTGAGCTTGAAATTGTTGTTGTATTTCTCTACCATTTTTGTTGGGTTAAATCTAAAATCTTATGTAAATCCTCTGCGTTATGCTGCTAGGTCTTCTTGGTACTGCAGCATTTGCTTTCTTTTGCTTTTATCTTCTCCTTGCTGTGGTGGCTGGTGCAATGATGCTGGGGCTCAGATTAGTTTTCATCACAATCCATCCCATGAAGTAATAAACTTTTTAACCCTTATACTCAGTTGTGATGCTTTAACCATTTTTTAGTGGTACTGATTAGTGAAATTTGCACTTAACAGGTGGGGCGCAACTCTCATGAACTCATTCCTTTTCAATGTGGGACTCATTCTCCTGTGCTCGATTAGGTAGGTGTCTTTTATCTACTAGATTGTGCCTTGATCCACGACGCTCAACTGTTAACCATAGTTGCTTGTAGTTTTGGTAGTTGCTTATTTTGTGATAACTTATTTCCTGTTTTGCTAAGATATGTCTGATGCAAGTGACTCTTTACTAAGGGATGGGTAGTTTCTTATCTCTCTGGCTTTGAATATGAGTGTGACTGCCTTTTTTCTGCCTGCTCTTTCAGTGTGATCCAATTTTGTGCTACGGCTTTTGGGTATTATGCACAAGCAACTGCAGCTCAAGAAATTTTTGGCCACACTTTGCAATCTCTTCGTGGGATAAAATATCTTTACAAGTGAGTTGTAATACTGGAGTTCTGACTGTTTGTAGGATCTTATAGAACTGGCACTGACTAGTTGAGCTGTTCATCTTAACAGGTACAATGTGTTCCAAATTGCATTCATTGTTCTTGCGGGTTTGACTTTCGTATATTACACTGCCTTTGTAAGTTTCCTGGTCTACTTTGTTGTCTACTCCGTCACTCTTCTTTCATAATTATCTTAGACTTGGGATATGATAATCTGACCACATCCTTTCCATGTACAATCATAGGGATGGAAAAGGAAAAAACCTAGTGGCAGGTTCCAACTCTCGAGCTGAAGCATGTTCTGATCATCAATGCGAGTGCTACCTTGGACTGGTCAGTGGAATCTGTCTCTTTGTTTTCCGGCGTGGTGTTTTTCCTTATTCGGTCTTGTCTACCGAGCAAGTAAAGAATCTGAGCGTTGAAGAGAGATTTGCAGATATGGTTCGAATTAGGTTGCCGGGGGAGCTTTAGAAGGGGAAAATTGTGCTGGTTTCCTTATCTGTTTTTTTTTTTTTTGTTCGTGGTTTTGCTGCTGCCTTTTGTTCATGCTCTGCTCATTTTGTATGTATTATCATTCTTTTGTAACGGATAATATACATGTTATATACGCTTGGTTTGGGGGAATCTGTATGACTTCGTCGCTGGACACATTTAGGGAGAATGGTGAAGGCGGGGTTGTTTGGCTGGGGCACATCTGGTAGGAACTTTAACTTACCTTCTCTTGTAATATAACTACGTCTGAACAAACAAAGATGAGACATGATCGAGTGAGCTGATTCAAATTTTTAACACGTTTGACTTATTTCTTGTGTTCATTATTATGGACGACACAATGTCCCTTTGTTTTCTTGTCCTCGGACAGTCGATCAAATTACAAATAGAATAGGGACAGCATTGGATAGCTAAAACTTAAAATAGACAGAATTGACGCGAAACCCTGTCTACTGGAAGTGAACTCTCAATAATCCCAGAGAGCAGTTTTGTTGAAGTCGAAATTGCAGATATTGATAGTCTTCCCGTCGTTACCAACCATATCGTATGGCGAATCTTCTGGAAACTCGACCGGCATGAATCTGCAGTCGAGGCTTGGCTCCCATTCTGCTTCCTTGATGACCTTGAGAATCTCCTTCACCACCACCTTGCTCCCCTGCGGCGACAGATGGATTCCATCCCTGCCAAAACCAAGCCACAAATCAAGCCCACCAAGCAGAAGAAAACAGGCAACAAGAGCAAGCATTGCTCTTTTTGTGTGTGCTTGATTGAACCCAAGCTAGAAGAAGGGTAAGAAGCTCTACGTGAAGCAATTCTTCCAGTTGTCTGTTTGCTGTATCGAACTCCAGAGATCCACTCCTTTAACGCCGATCTCGTCGCACAGCTTCATACACGCTTGGGAGTAAACCCCGCACGCCTCATTCGTCCGAACCATGTCGAACACATTACTGCACAACGATCTCATAACATATAACATCATTCAATCAAATGCAGATTAAGACAGGACAGTAAATAAAAAGGGGGAGAGACTTGATTCACCCTAGCGTTGTGTTCATAAGGTCCTCGTCTACAGGAGGGGCAGTGAGGAAAATCACCCGGGTCTTGTCGGATAAGCTCTGCACAGTTGATAGGAATCAAAATATATGTAGTGGGTTTGATGGAACTGGTGATTTTGAACTAGTGTCAGTATGTACCTTGAGATGGAGGGCGATTTTGGTCATGTTGTCGACGTATTCGGGAAGAGGGACGTGAGGGCCGAGCCCTGTTTGGTGCGGGTGAATTGAGTCATTGCCGCCGAAGTAAACGACGACGAGGGAAGGCTGGACGGCGGCGTCTTTGGGGAAGACTTGATGGAGAACTTGGAGAGCTCGCCTGGAGTTCCAACCTGAATATCCTCGCAACACTATGTCCGCCTGCTCTGCCCAGTTCATCAGTGGCGGTGCTGAATGAAGATAGTAAAATGGGGGAGGGAGGGAAGAGAAGGATGTGGGGGCCGGTTTTGTACCTTACGAGCATAGATGTCGGCGAGAATAGCACCCCATCCGCCATTGCTGAAGCTCATCTGAACAATTGAGGACCCAAACAGCACGAACTGTGGCCTTGCTAGACCTGCCATCTCTTCCTCCCCAACTTGGACCTTGTTTGCCTCGTTTCTCTGGTTTTCTTCTTGTTTTTGTTTTGTTTTGTTCTGCCTGTCGTGTGAGAATAAGGATGATGTACTCACGACATATGCATTGGGGGCAGGGGCATCCGTTAAAGGAGACCGACAGTGTCTTCCGGTTGTTGGATTTGTTTAATTCTTCTTTGATGGATGTTTTCGTCTAATTCTTGTTATTAGGGGTGGGTATCTCTCGATTCGGTCCCAGACCGGACCAAACTATTCTCGGACCGGACCTTCAAAAACCCATTGATAAACCGCCTCTGTGGGGAACTTGAAAAGAATCAGACGATCCTCCAACCAAGAGACACGCACTTCACCTTCCCCACCCCATAACCAGTTCGCCCAGGAACGAATCGTCGCTAGCGATGGTGGAGCTCCCAGAAATTGACCAACTAAACTGTTTTCTCACTCCCGAGCACCCTCTTCCAGCACCGCTTTTGGAACTCGAATTGACCCATTGACCAATTCCGGCTCATAGAACTCCAATTTTGAATCCTCAGAGACACCGAACAACGAAGCCCACGATCGGCCGCCACCAACGGCGCCCGATGAGGCTCCGTCAACGACGACCGTCATCAGAGATCGCGAACCCTAACCTGAAATTGGGAGAGAAACTGAGAATTTTTTTTAGAATTAAATCGTACTTTTAGCTAATTTTTGATAATTTAGCAAAAAAGACTTGCTATGTATTTCCACAGGGCATGTCCTTTAACAGATGGACACGTTCTGTCCGTGGTGGGATAGTGTTGAAGATTAGGGCTGTTAGCGGTGCGGTTTCGGTTTTAACCGAACCGCAACCGCGGTTAACCGTAGCCGACGAGTACCCAAAAACAGCAACCGCCACCGACACCGATAGACTTATCGGTTAGCCGAAAACCGCCGTCGACGGTTTCGGGTCGGTGTCGCGGTTAGCTGAAGACCGACGGAAGGGATGGGTGGAAGGGATGACGGCGATTTCAGCTTCAGGGACGCCGGTGAGGATTGAACAAGGCGATGCAGAGGACGATGACGGCGACCAAGGATCGGCCTGCTGCGACTGCCGGCGACAGAGGATCGATCAAATCGACCTGCTGCTACTGCCTCCTGGCCTTCGATCTGGAGGATGAAGAAGGACGAGATGACGACGGGATGGCGACGACGACCGGCGGTCGATCTTCACCACTGCAGCTACCCCTTCTCCTTCTTGGCCTTCGTTCGCTGGATTTCGATGGCGGATGGAGGGGTTGAGACTTGGAATCGGAGGGAGATTAGGGAAAAAAGAGCGCCGCCACAATCCCCGCGTCTTCCTCATCGTCGCAGTCGCCATCGTCGATTCGTCGCCATCCCCGAATCATCGTCACCATCGCCTCGTCTTCCCTCTCTATTTCTCTCCCCTTTCACTTGTTCTTGTTGCTGCATGTTTCGATCTGGGCAAGATCGAGACTGAGGGTGCGGATCAAAGGCGGTCTCAAATCTGATGGTGAGACTGAGAAGAGAGAGGGACCAGATCAGGTGTGATTGAGATGTCGCCGTCGTCAAGGGTTGGGTTGAGATGTCGTCGCCTCCGACTGAGTCTTCATCTGCCAGAGGCTGAGGCGGCCGGAGGGAGAGCAGAGCGAACAAGAATTGGAGAAGAGAGAAGGAGAAGAAGAGAGTAAGTGGTGCTGTGGCAGAGCAGAGTGGAGGTAATAGATTTGGGACGGTTACTCGGTGCACCGAGTTTATCTCGGTTTCTCCACCTGCGGTTTTCGGTGAATAGAAATCACCAAAACAGAACACCGCCACCGACACCGAAGGCAAGAAGTCGGTTTTCGGTTCGGTTAATAACCGCTCGGTTCGGGTCGGTTTTCGGTTTAGCCGAGAAACCGCCAACCGATTATCACCCCTATTGAAGATGGCATCAAGAGTTTTGGAAGCAACAGTCATGGTTTGATCTGCTCCATAACCGAGTTGCATCATGATAAATTAGCTCAACATAATGAAAATTTGAGGGTCGGCGAGCAAGTTAAAAGGTTTATTTGATCCGTCCAAATATCAATTCAGTACTTATCCCTGTTTTGGAAGAAATTAATGAAATTGACAATCTAAGGGGTCGTTTGGAAGTTGCGATAGTTTTGTTGAGATTGTCATTATGCATGTATTGTTTACAATGCATCGTTTTTTTGTTTTTTTAGCAGAAACAATACATGGATTGTTTCTGTGATGTGACAGAAACTATCACTCATTTTGAGTGATTGTTATATCTCAACTTTTAGTTGTGATTGTTGAGATAGTTGAGTTGAGATTGTTTTGTCCAGCTTTTAGCTGATGCGACATACACAATCACACATACCAAACGTTGTATTCTACAATGCATCAAATTCGACAATACATGTATAATATTATACATGCATTCTCAACAATACATCTATTTAACAATCGCAACTTCCAAACGACCCCTAATTACATTATAAAAGGTCCACATTGATCCCTTGAATCCAGACCGGCTCCAACTCTTCAAAAAGAAAGGAGGCAGTCTGAATTGGTATTCATTAAGTCAGGCCTGCCTCATCATAAAAATTTATGGACTCTCTCGCATTGGCCCTTGATAAGCTTCTCTTTGGAGCAAATGGACCATCACAAGGTTTATGCTTTTAGTATTCTTGGCTGGGTGTGGGTTCTGCTAGTCACGGGGCTTACCAATTTATTCCTTTTAGCATTTTGGCAGGCTTCCACCACAAACACCAATGTTTCATTTTTCTCATATTTTGCTTTTGTTGTTACCGCAGAGAGACGACGGACAAAAGAAAGCCAAAGAAAGAAACAAAGGGACAAAGGGTTCAGAATCGCACATGTAAGCTTTGACTACCAAGCCAAGTTTCTCATGGCAGGCTTGAGTTCAAGAAGTGGTTGTAGCCAAGCGTATCGAAGAGGGTGACTCCTGAGAATTCACAGGGCATCGACTCCCAATGCAGGCTTGGTTCCCACTCCGACTCTTCTATCACCTTCAAGATCTCATTCCCCACTACCTTGCTCCCTTCTGATGTCAGATGGATCCCATCTCTGCCCACACAGCAGCAGCAGCAATTGCAAATTACAAACAGTGCCGCAAAATCCAAACAAAAGCACAACAATTGTTGACCAGTGCAACAGCTTAGGTGCTTCCTGACTTACATGAAATAGGCAGTCTGCCAGTCCTCCCGTTGTTGCTGGAACACAGTCCATAGATCAATGCCTGTCACCCCCATTTCCGAGCACATCTTCATACAAGCTTCTGCGTACATCCGGCATCTCTCATTTGTGCGACCACAATCTCTGCCCAGACAAAGAAAAGTAACGCCAAAAACTGAGCTCTTTGTTCCCTGCAACATTATTAAGAAGAGGCTCGAGGGTCTTAACACCAAACCCAAAATATTTAGTGACCATCTTCTCATTGACTGGGGGAGGAGTAAGAAAGATGAGGCGAATCGTCTCAGAAAGGCCCTGGCAACCAGAAATCCGCACTAGATTCAGAAACCCATTTAACAGTTCAATGTTTGATTCATGCAGAGAGGTGTGCAGTTAGGATGTATGATTACCTTGAGATGAGCAGCAATCTTCTTCATGTTTTCATAGTACTCAGGAAGAGGTACATGAGCAATGGACCGGTCTTGGCTGCACGAATCATTCCCACCAAAATAGACTATAACTAGTGCAGGATGTGTGGCAGCATCCTGAATCAGAAAACAAACTTCTCAGTTTTTCCATCTACCAATTCCCAAAAGAGGGAAATTCACCTCACCAATTGAAGCTCCTATATCAATTAAGACATCATAAAGAGGAAAAGAAAAGGCATTTTGTTGTTTATGTCCAGATTACCAGTCTTGAGAGTTATGCTGTTGTAAAATGAAAGCATAAGCCAAAAGATAGAGGCACCTTTGGGAAAACTTGTTCAAGAACCTTGAGAGCATCCCTCGAGTTCCAACCTCCATATCCTCTTATCAAAATGTCTGCCTGAGACGATCCCAGTGGTGGGGTGTCGAGCCAATCACAGAGTGAACAACAAGCATAAGCATTTTGAATTCCCGAAATGGGGTTTCAAGACAGCAACTTGCAGTTGAAACCCAACCAAGAAAATGAATTTAGAGAACCAAAACTCAAAGCAAATGATCAAGTGAGGGATTTATCACCCCCTTCTCCATTTCAACCCCTAAATTATTTCTAGAATCTTGGCCATCATAAAGGTCGCAAATTGCGCCTGGATGAGAAAGGGAACTCTCCACAAACATGCGACGGACAGAAACAGATACCCAGCCAACAATAAAAACACAAAAAGAAGGGTTACCACCTTGCGAGAGTAGTAGTCAGAAAGCATAGCGCCCCACCCACCAACACCATAGCTGAACTGGACGATGGAGGATCCAAACAACACGAACACCGGTCTCGCCGTCCCCACCATCTCCCCTGCCGTTGCGACGGTGGTAGGCAACGGTGGCCTCGAATCACGGGCGGTCAGGTAAATGGGGAACTGAACACTCTGATTCGGCGGTGATTCCCACCTTTTGCCCAAAGCCCTTGTGGTGGTTTGCGGATTCCTCCGATCCTACATATGCAGTTTTTGGTTTTACTAGTTAGTAGTTGTACACTTGTACTCGGGACTTCTTTGTTTGGGTCTTCTTTTCTGGTTGGCGTTTGGAGAAGAAAGTCTTCCCCTTTGCAATAAGGTCGAAGGATATAGTTTTCGGATGAGCTGTGCCTGTAACCGTCTTCCCACCAATTCCTTGGAGCTAGAAGATGTGCTGATTCTGACCGCTCAACTACTGTTTATGGCCACCGATATTTCCAGTTAATTTTACTTATTAATAACTTTTTGTCCAAATAAAAAAATATTATTATAAATTGCGAAATGCCGAAAGCTAAAAAAAACCTAATATTACCAGAAAAATGCCGAAAATATGGGAATAATCATCATAAGCTTTTATGATGAGAACTCAATAATATATATATTTTTTTTATATAGTAGAAGTTCCTTGCAACAAATTATTTTTATACTTAACTCGTTTGCAACAAAATATTATTATAAATTGGACGATTCCGTCTCCAATATTATTGGTTTCCTTCCATGTTTTATGGTATTACCTTAACTAAAATAAGACCATGTGATTTATTAAACATTACAAATAAGCACGATAGTGGGGGGAAAAAGTTTGAGTGCGTCCTCCTATAATTTCGAGACATTGTATTTATCAATTGTTTCTCGAATACAATCTCGAGTTATTTTTTAGATTTGTCGAATTTATGAATCTAATTGGATATTGAAAAATTCTTTTTCCTTGATCTAATCTAGTTCAGGATTGTAAATAAATGTTTGTGCCCGAGGGTCCCGACCCTCGAGAATTTCGAAGATCACGTGTAAAAATATCAAGAATTCTTAAATTTATGAAGAAATTAACTTTTTGTACAATATCTACACCGCGGTAAAAATGACTTACTTACCTTGGTCTAGTCTAACGAAATGTAGTTGTTAGTATATTTGTTGTAATTTGGTTCAATCCCTGGCAGCAGCATTTTTCCCAATTTTCCTCTTTTTAGTTTAATTTTTGTTTAAAATTTAGACTAATCAACTAACTTTTGCACTTCTTCATATATTATCTAATTTCAAAGCTTGGAACTTATAACTCGCATTTTTAATATTTTTAATTAAAATTCAACATAATAAGTTAACTTCCATACACATTTATTGTTCAATTACAATAACAATATGGTACAGATTGAAAAATAATTATTAGATTTTTGCTGGTCATTGACAATTTATTTTGAACACATTATTACATGAAATTTTAGTTTATATCTTTTAATTATCTTAAATAATGTTTGTGTGTCTATGATAAATGAATTATTATTTATCTTTCTAAGTTTTTTGTCGGATGCTATATAAAAAAGTCCGGCCACTCCGAGCTCTGAATCCTGGTTCCGCCCCTGTCCCTTATGGATTCACCAAGAAAGTGTGATTTGGCAAGCATTACATTGGGTTCTAGGTTGTATTAAGTGTGCTTTTTGGTATGCGTTGAAGTAGAATTTTGTGTTTGGCGAGAGATATTTGGCATGCGGTAATGAATAATGATGATCCAAATGCAAATGTGTGTTGACTATTAAGCGTGACTCTTGTATGTTGAGAACACATTTTTACTATGCATTAACAATAAATGTAATAAGTAATACCATACTGCAGTTTCTAGTTTATCATTGTCAATTGTGGAAAACATTGGATAGAGTTCTAACACTTTTTATGTTGTCACCATAATAACCGTTTTCATGAAAAAAAAAAAAAAATTACCCGTAATATTTATCATAGGATGAGACTTGGGATTAAGAATTTTTACATTGGGTACCCGCAGGTTACTCGCTAATACCCGTTTGTATAGTATACGTACTAGTAATCCCATTACGATTTATTCCCTATACAAATACGTACAATACTACAATAGCCAATACAAAACTCATGATCAATTATTTGATCATCCAGTTGATGTTGTTGATGTATAATGTATATCTCTGATTATTATTCATTTTCTTTTTGCCCCCACATATATACTCAAAATTATAGAGCCTCTATTCCCCTACAATTGAAGCTTCCTCACAAATTGTCACAATGACTTTTTTATTTTTTGGGCTGATACTGTTACTCCCAGCCTATGTTTAGGATTATTTCATAGCAGAAGGAAGAGAAGAGTGAGTAACAACAACAATAATGCATCTAATAGTTAAGTATATGAAATTATTACTAATTTTCTATCATTGCTATTATGAGTTTAGTTGTTCATGTTGCAATGACAACCACCCTGGAAAATTGTTACAGAGCCGTGGGGGAATTTTCCATCAAACCGTACGTGATTGTGGATGAGGAAAATAGTTGAAATCATTGGTTGTGTAATGTTTATGGAACCCACGCAAAAAAGATAATGGAGATTAAAACGAACACATTGGAGACTGAACATAGGAGTGATTAAGAACTAATTGCATACATTTTATCCCGGTTTCCCTTGGGCGTTTGTAGCATTTGGACTCCTAAAAGGGTGGGTTTACGTTAGGTTTTGTGCGTTTTAGTGTGTTTCATGATCCAACAGGTGAAACCAGCCTCGGAGTCGAAAGTTGTACGAAAAGAGGCGAAGACTGGGCAAAGAGGGTGATCCAAACGTAGTTCACGGTTTCCCATGGGAGCTCACGGCCCACTATGGTCGTGAACTGAAGCCCAAAACCGTGAACCGCGATGCGTCCAGGGAGAATTCTGCAGTTACTACCGCGGGACGTGAAGATTGAGGCCAAACTGTGAACTCCTGATGGTGAAACGGTGCGCTTCGACATAGCGCTCTGTGTTCACGGACGCGTTGAAGAGTTCACGGCCGTGAACTGAGGCCGTGAACTGAGCCCGATCCTGGTATATAATGTGAGTTGAAAAGGAAGAGAAAGGGGGAGGCCAAGTGTGAGAAAGTGTCTTCTTCTTCAGATTTTAGAGAGAGAAAGGATGAACCAAGGAAGAAAGAAGGCTAGGGTTTGCTCTAAGTGGTGGATTGGGAAGATTCTCCCCAAGAGAATATCAAAAGCTCAAAAGAGATTGGAGGCATCACCATGATGGTTTCTACCTCTTCCTCTTGTGTTCTACCCCTTCCTAGCATGGAGTAGTATTTTTTTCACTTGGGTGTTGTGAAACCCTAACTATTTGCCATGTAGTTGGGTGAATTGAATGATTGTTTATGGGTGTTGTTTAATTCAATGATTGAGGTATTTTTCAAGTTGATATGCATGTCTGTGCTTAGTAATCCAATTGGCCATTCTAACCTAGATAAGAAGGAAAACCCCCTTTCAAGGGAGGCTCAATTGAGTTGGGATTCCTTGGGCTTTTTACGCCACCTATCTAGGTTAATGTAGGGCAAACCTCTATGTTGAATTAAGCAATTTGGTTAAGCGCGATTAAGCCGACCAACCATTGGGTTGAGTAAGAGAGTAAGTCAACCATCGATTTCCTTAACCAAGAGGGCTACTTGAGTAGCCTATAATGTATTCCTTGGTTTGGCAAACGAGAGTGTGGTCTACGACCATAGTTGTGTTTCCTAGCGGTTCGCAGTCACCTTGCCCGTAACAATTAATTCAATTCCTCGTGCCATGGTAGTAGTTAGTGGGAAGCGACACCCGAGTGATCCTTCTCACATAAAGCTTTCAAAACCGTTTACTTTTGGCTTGCTTACTTTAATTGGAAATCTTTTCAACCAAAACCGATTCGCTAGATAATGTTTCAAACAATTGAAGTAGGGGTACACGGACCGGATCGAGTCGATATTTAAACATACTTGCTCTGTATTGCACCCTACTAAGGTTTATACTTGGACCGTAGGAGGGAATTAATTGTGATATTCGGGATGAGTCAAGTTTTTGGTGCCGTTGCCGGGGAACAACGGTCCGTTATCTTGAAAAAGTTGTTTGGTGTTAACCTAGCTTTTAATTTCCAGTTTTGAATGTGTGTGTGCTTTGCTTGTGCTAGACTTGGTATTGTTTTCTAAGTGTGTATAGGGAGGTGCATGACCCGGAGCAATCCTACACCTTTGCTACCACGTGACGAGGACATAAACCAAACTCCCCGACTCCTAGCCGGGAGAGGGAGCTAGTAGAGGCAAGGAGGAGAAGTGAAGAAAGAGGGCAACAATTTGGTCCAGGTGTTAGTGGAGTAGAAGTTGAAAAGTGGAAGGTGAACCCGACATTGGAGTAGAAATGGCGGGGAACCAAAGAGAAGCAGGAGCCGCCCAAGCTCGTAACCTAAACGATGCGGTGGCAGAAGAGGAAATCCCTAGGACAATGGGATATTTGATGGCCCCACGGCCGGCGGACATTCAATCGCCAATCTTGCACCCTCCCGTGGCGGCCAACAATTTCAAGATCAAGTCGGCTCTAGTGACCATGATACAGAACAATGCATTGTTCCACGGTCTTCCGAGAGAGTCACCAAGAGAGCATGTGCAGAGATTCCTGGAGCTCGCGGAAAGCTTGAAAATCAATGGCATGCCGGCTGAAGCTTTGCAATTGAGGCTTTTCCCCTACTCACTAGCGGGTAAAGCAATCTGGTGGCTAAACAACCACCCGCCTTGTTCAATCACATCATTGGACGATCTTCTCAACAAATTCATGACCTGCTATAGCCCGCCTTTGAAGACGGCCGAGTGGAGAAAGAAGATCACCCATTTCGAGCAAGAAGAAGACGAGACCTTGTGGAATGCTTGGGAGAGATTCTCTGATTACTTTCTTCAATGCCCTCACCATGGGTTCGAGGAGCATTTTCAGATAGAAACTTTCTACGGTGGACTAATCCAAGAAGACAAAATTCTCATTGACTCTCTGTGTCAAGGGAAATTGATGAATATGACTCCACTGTAGTAACCGAATTGCACGAGGTCATGGCCCTCAAGGGGTATGATTGGGGCTTGACGAGGAGCGGGAAAAGAAGTAATGATAGAGGAGTGAGAAGTGTGGGAGCCAGCCTCCACTTTAGGAGAAGCTTGACAAGTTGATCGAGGTAATTCTTGAATAAAAGAAGCAAGGAAAGAGGCCAGTAATGTCATGTGACTGGTGTTTGAGCACTAGCCATGAGATGGCGGAATGCCAAGCAATGAATGAGGCAACCACTCCAGAGGAACAAGTCAACTTCGTGGCAAATGCTAGGGCTGATAACCCGTATAGCAATACTTATAATCCCGGATAGAGGAACCACCCCAATTTTGCTTGCTAATCACCGACTAATCCTAGACCCCTGGGTTTTCAAGGCCCCACGTGCAATTACCAACCTCGGCCAACCTTCATCCAACAA